CACCGATTTCTCCCCGATGTCATCGCCCGATGCCATCGCACAGATCAAAACGTTTTGATATTATCACCGATGCCATCGCCTAGTGTGTCCGCGCCGGCGATAAACATCGCCCGATTGTACAATTCATCAGCCAATGAACAACAAGCACATGCATAATTTCTGATGACTGAACCAGAGTGAACACAATGCACTCAGACACAATGCGCGAAATCACAATGTATTTTTTTTTCAGCACAACGGCGCTGCGTGTAAATCGCCCGATTTAATCGCCTAGTGTGTCACTCGCTCGCGTGATAGATCGGGCGATTACATCGCTCGATGCCATCGCCCGATGCCATCGCCTAGTGTGTCCGGCCCTTAACCCTAACCGTAACCATAACCTAACCCTATTATATATTATATATATTATATATATATATATATATATATATATATATATATATATATTAGTCAGAAATAGCTAAACGAGCCAGGTCAGAGGGACATTTAGACTTTATCGGCAATATGTTGTGTATATATATACTAGGGGCGATTACGTACCAGAAGTCCCCTGGCACGGATAAAGAAAAGCCGAATACGATACACAAGTTCTGTGTGCCATAGGGCGAGTTGTTGTTCTATATATAGCACTTTAGTTTCCTTCTTACTGTTGTTGACTCTTTAGAGTTTGATTGATGCGCTTTGGCCACGATATGATTACGTTCTCGATACGTAGGTGATGATCAATATTGTATCGGGATACACAGACAAGGTCAGTCAAGCATAAATTTGTTGAAAACAATGCTAATGTTAAAATATGTATGCACAAAAATCATAGTTAACGAAAACATGCAAAAAATTGCTTGAAAGTTGAAATTTAAGTTGAATTTTCGAATTTCAATTATGCACTAAAGACATAATCGTAAAAGACGACACTTAATATCAAGCCCTGATGCGCTTTGTAACAGCAATGGCGGCTGCCATTGAAATGAGTGCAAAATTAAATTATTCCGAGTTGTAATGTCAGAGAAATATAAATTATACATCGGCTGTGCTGGCAGAAATCGAAATGGAGAAATGCAGCAATTTTCTTTACTGTTGCTTTTAACAATGGTCGAACGTAATTGCTGTGTGCAAAACGGGTGACGTATGTAAACATCTACTGTTAGTACTACTCTGCGACAAATCTATGACTAACTGAGATCACTAAATTGGTAAAATGTTCTATGCACTTTGAGAAATTGTGAGAATCACTACTTGGTTGTGCCTGCAATTCGCGTGCGAAACGCACGTATGCGTGTACTGCATACGTCACTAAGCTATGTGTCAACAAACCGCCGGCCGGGCCCTTGTATCGAGGCATAAATGTTATTTTCGACAATCAGTGCTCGTTCACAGGCATGCGTATTGTTGTATCCGCGATACGGACGCTGCGTATCGATTTTCGTATCGCGGGCCGCTCGCTATTCTGGTATCGGTGAATCGTTACACCCTAGTTGACCAGGGGTCGAAATAAGCGATGGTCAATGGTCCGGGGCGCATCAAATAATCAGGAGGACCATGAGATTTTCAAAGTCAAATGAATATTTTGTCCCATTTTCACGGTAATTTTCTTTGAATTTTCCACGTTCAGTATATTATTAAAGTGAATAACAATTACTGTATTGTTTGATACATTCATTGTAGGTGAATCACCATGAAAAACCATCATCATCCATTTATTCATCATTTAAAATATCTTTCTTAGGCTTGCACGCCGGCATTACTTTTAGAGAACAATTTGAAATTTAGGAGGACCATCTAATTTCAAACTAGATGGTGTGGACGCATCTCTTTTTATCTCAGCTGACGAAGTTGGATGCAGCTTGTAGAATCGCATGAATGTGCGTCCGGCCGTCAGTCCGTGTGTCAACAGTTACGGCACAAATCTTAACTGCTTGACAGACGGTCTTGATATTTGGGACATCGGGGGGCGGGGGGGGTCGCGAAAAGGACTTGGGATGTCGAATTTGGGGGGTCAACGGTCAAAGGTCAAGATGTGTTAATGGAAGGGGAATATTTTCCCTTTAACTTAAGGCATAGGAGGAAATACGGAATTGCGAGCAAATCTCACAGCGATCGACCGCTACGCTCTTAATATTCGATGTATAGTGTGATGGGGTGGAAACCCATCACCAGCGCGAAATTGGAGGTCACAGGTCAAAGGGCAGTGGGGGTAATGTCAGAGTACATGGTCTAACGGACCGAGTGCAAAACTTTTTTGTTTCAGCGCTGACCTACCATTTCTATCACTTTATTGAAAGTACCATGAAATGTACTTTCCGCTGACATGCGAAGAGTAAGTGTCTGATAACCTTTTGACCCTCAAGAGGAGGGTTGAACATGGATTTGTTGACTGTTAACAAAGGACTGAACTGCATTTCAATAGGCGTGTTCAAACACAGAAAAACCGCACTGCTCATCCTGCTAATAGCGGAGATAATAGTGAGCTAATTGTGTCGTTGTTCACACAGGCGGAAATATCTCGCTAATCGCCGAGCGGGATAACACGTCGCGGTGTAAATAAGCGCGCTTATTCCAAATTAGCGCAGTCGGAAGTGTTCTTTGCAGGACGCTATTTTGAGCGCGATTTAGTGAGCTAATTGCGTTCACACTTGTAAAAACCTCGGTTTTTCGAGCGGGCTGCAAAAACCGGGATTTGCAGCCCGCTAATTCGCGCCAGTGTGAACGCACCTATTATTTAAAAGGTCATTTTCAATATTAAAAAAAAAATGCACACGTGTACTATTGAAATATCTAGAGAGACGTGGTTATCTTTTACGCCATGTGCAGTTGCTATATCAGGCTGTCCTTGATATTGCGTACACACAGATAACTGCCCTAGGCACGTGGCTCACATGCTCAGCCTTGCGTATTCGCGAGTCTGAGAATCTCATGGATCTAAGAAGATCGCGGGTATATGAGAATAGGCTACGGGGCACCTGGGGGTATGGAGACAATTTAGCTCCCCTGCTGGGCTGGAGCGCCGAGGAAGAAAGTGCCAGATATTTATTTTGGCTAATTAGTAATTACCTTGGATTTAATTAGATCAGATTAGTTTGATTTTATTTAGATGCTATTATAACATGTGTTTTTGCATCTCTTATGACATTAAAATAGGGTGTATGACAGACGCGTAAATGACAACAGTATTTGTAAAATGTTGGCAATGTTTTTTTTTACTGAGAGTGAGTCTGTGGCACGACATGTGGCCAGGGTGTTGGCAGAAAGATGCGATATGATATGACTACTAGGCACTTTAATTTAATTTAATTTTTCTTTTTTTAGGGTTAGGGTTAGGGTTAGGGTTTTTTTTTAAGTGCCTAGTAGTCATATCCTAAGTGCCTAGTAGTCATATCATATCGCATATATCTGCCGGGTGCTGTGGCCAGAGGTGCGACATTGATGTGCCTTTACTACACTGAACCACTAAGGTCGCTATGTACCTATGATCACCAATGATTCGCACAGTCGCGACCGAGTTTGTATTAACTGCGGCTGCGCAGTACGTGCGAAAACCCACATGTATACCTGCGCATTTTTCCTCGGTAAATGTTTCGGCTGCATTCAAGCGTGTTGTACGTGACGCTGTTGAGAGGTAGTGACCGTATATCTAGGAGGATAATATTAATACTCAGTAGAAGTTCTCTCGAGTGACTCCTTCCGAAACCGTTTTTTGCATATATAGTTAGCTTTATCAGGGCGGCTCCATTCCATGACCGCAGGCAGTGAGCCATGCAGCCCTTTGTGTTTCAAGTGTATATACTAACACCACTATGTACAGTAGTACTAGTAGACACTGCACGGGTAGATATATACCTAGAGTGACACTAGTAGTGCCACTCTAGGTATATCTACCTGGGTGTAACTGCCGAGGTCAGCAGAAAACGTGTAGGTGCTGAATCAGTTTTACATCTACTGTGTTAGGTTTTGTTCAGCCCTTCGATCCCAATATTGGTCGTGTAGCCCTGATTGGATGGTGAAGGTCAGGTAGACTTAGTGGTGATAAATATCGTGATAAATAAAGTTAAATTAGTACTGCTTTCAAGATGCAAATACAGAGACCTTATTATTGTGTTGGATATATATACAGGGCATGAAATTCAGATTTTTTGCACTGGCCCAGAGGGCTGGTACAAGCAGTTTTTTACCGACCCTCACGAATTAAAAAAAAATAATAAAAATAAAGATAAGACTGTTTCACTGACTCTTGCTTGTCTGAACAATTTAGTGTACGGCATTGCGTAGTACTTAGCTGTTGAACTGAACAGAGTATAAGTATAATACACATCGTGAATGATGTCCGAAGTGTTTTTGTCAATGTCATGTTTCACGCTTGCATTCTCTATTTCAAGTTTGTAAAATGTTGATAAATTGGGCCTAAGGTAAAATATTGCTTGTTTCCCCTTTACCGACCGACTCGCCAAAACGCCGCTACTTGACACATTTTATTGGCCGATTAAAACAAAACAAAAATTATTTTGTTTCGCCAAAAAAAAAATCTAATTCGGTCCGCAAAAACATATACACAAAACAGAATATACAATATACATACACACATCTTGTCAAAACAAAATAAAAAAGATTTTTCACCTACCTACCTACTCGGTACCCTGAGAGGCGAGTAGGTAAAGAGGAAACAAACAATTTTTTAAGGGTGGTCTTATGGCATGATATCCTTTAGGTAAAACATGTAGGCCATGTTTGCTCATTGATGCTATAAATAAAAATGTATAGGTACTTGCTAACAACTCTCGCTCAAGCCACCGACTCGGAGAGCCGGTGTTTTGCCAATGTTACTGGCGCTGAGAGGGTCTCTGTCCTCCAGGGTACTGCCGGAACGTACCCTGGGTATGGATGATTAGTATTGATTATCATATCATGGGTTGCTGTGTCGTGATTCACCATTGCATCAGAGAATCGTTACACACATAACTGTGAGGTACTGCGTATGAACCAGATTCCTATTCCCGTTTCTTCAGTACACTACTTGAGCAAGCACGATGAGTGAGGTTGACTCGTATGCCAGGGAACCCACACGAAGGCATGACATGACCGTCAACGCACCTCAACCGTACAATGCTGAGCCACCTGTTGAAATTATTCGCAGCCATTATGTCACACCAACAGATTACTTCTATGTTCGGAACCATGCACCAGTACCTGATATCAACCCACACAAGTACAAGTAAGATTTATCTATCGAAAGCAGTTTCTTTGCTTGTATATATGCTATATGTATATATAATATAACCATGTATCATAATTGTTTAAAAATTGCAAATTCGTCATTGTAATTAATTGTACCATAATTTGAATGAATTTTCTAATATCAGCTGTGCCTTAACTTTGTATAACACTTTACTCTGTAGATTTGTAGTTGATGGAATGGTGGCTAAACCGAGGGAAGTGTCCCTGCACGAGCTCAAGGCAAAGTATACCCATCATACAGTTATGTGTACTCTCATGGTAAGTTACATTTGCCAATGAAGTCTTTATTTAGTTGATTTGCCACGCACACTTGCATAGATAGTGATAATACTCTTCTTCCATTAAGATATCGGGGTTCCTATACAACATACTTGCCCATATGGAGTGCAACAATGCAAATGTAACAGATCTGGTGTGCAGTAAGGTTTCGAAAATCCATTTTCATATGTATTTAAATGACCTAGCCTAGACGAGTTTGAAAAGTCTGTTCCTTAAAATACAATACAATACAATATTGAAAAGTTGCCCTCAATGTTGGTTTTTGTTTGCTTCGTGATGAATGTGATAATTAATGCTAATGATGATAATTGCTATGTCATGATCACTTATTCCAGGTATGCGAGAACTCTTGGTGACCAGAGTTTGGCAGTCGATGAAATTGATATATATAGTGTATTGGTGTTATTTGTTGGAGGGTCAGAAGTTTGTTTGCATCAAAATCCAATATCGTTGACCAAGTCGATAAAATGCTTTGTTAATCACAATAGCATTCTTGTGGCCTGAGATAGAGCTTTCTGTCTACAGTGTCTAGTGTAAGTTAGGTGGATTTGTGCCTCCCCCCCCCCAGCCTGGATTATATGGTCGTTGTAATGTGCCTGAAGTTTACCAGAGGATTTTCAAAATTTATCTAGATGTAATAAGAGTTCTTGCTGTTGTCCAGTAGTGTGTTCATTCTACCAACAATTTGTCTAGTTAAGTATCACTGATGTCTAACATGGGAAGGAATTCGATGAGCTAAACAGAAAGCAGATAGAAGGCAGGGGAACCTAGATACTAAAATTATACTTGCAGTATAGTAGTATTGTGTGATTAGGCAATATTAATAAATGTATAAAACATTATAAAATCTTAGTAGTAAATATAATTCGTATTCATGTAGTCCTTATATTATCGAATGACACTTCATTTTTTTCACGTTATCATTGTTAGTGTGCTGGGAACAGACGAACAGAGATGTCTAACCTAAAAACGGTGAAGGGAGTAGGCTGGGGCAATGCTGCTCTGAGCAATGCCATCTGGAAAGGGGTACGCCTCTGTGATGTACTGGAGGATGTTGGAGCTGAAATGGTAGGTGGGTGAATAAAGGTGTGACAGTGGGTTGGCATATCACCAATGTAGTCTCGTTTTAGACACACATTGTGTCAATAGTATTGTTACTAGTATCACATGAGTATATATCAGTAGAGTGTTTTCGTAAATGTATGGAAACCCAAAATCAGCAGTGGTCTACAGACAATAATGGCTGCAGGGTTATTGTAAGTTGTTGTACCTCACATCAAGAAATAGAACACTCCAACAAATTCTTGTTATGTAACACTGTGATAAGTGATAGATAGTGCCACATGAGAACATGCAGCACAGCTTGTCCAGGTACTTGTTTTTCAGATCATTGCATCATATTATCACATCATTGCAAATATCACATATTGACATTTGCTGATTGCAGGATAATCCACATTTGCATGTTGACTTCTATGGCGGTGATCCATGTGTTGAGGAGAATTATAAGAAAGGTTATGGTTCATCGATACCTATGAGCAAAGCTGCGTAAGTTTATTATGTGTTAGCGCTCATTAATGGTGCTAAAGTCCATATATGTTTTAATGACAGTATGTCGTAGATAATTCCCCGTATATGTCATCACTGTCACAGAGTAATTTTCCATATGCTATGTAAAGGTAGATTAGATGTTTAAAAACATTTAAAAGGGTTAGTTTATATATGTAAGTGTAATATTATTATTAAACACATGTGATAGTTTGTAAATAAATGCAGGCACCCCATTTATTTTCTGGCAGCTGATGATCCAGTACCTCGTTTAGTCTGGCCAAAATTACAACGGGGCACTTAATGTTCACAGGGCGGCCACAGATGGAGTTGCGTGTAGCGCGCGCTCGTTGGAATCATTTACATTGCACTTGTTGGTGGTGATCCACCCATTTCTGTTAGATTGTTAGCTTATTTGGCATATATATAACCCTAACTATGGCTTCTAAACACCAGTCATTATCATTGCCTGTACGTTTTGTTTAATTTAAGTTTCTAGCAGTCCGTGGTGCAGTAGTGACATGAGAGGTGTATAGTTAGTGGTTCTGAGGTGTATTGTTGAATTATTATTGTGTAACCTCTGTTGGTCCGAAAAAACGGCGAATCTGGCAAGGCTTTTGGAACAAAGTGTTCTGGAAAATCAGTGGTGTATCTGTGCATTATATGAGGCAAGCTTTTTTTCAAAAATATTCAGAGTAGATGGTACTAGAAAAGTAAACACCAGCTAGGTTGTTTGCCATGCCAAATGACAAACCTGTGCATCAGTGCTAGTTGGGTCTGTTGGCTTGCCCCTCTTCCTCAAAAACTTTTTTTTCCGTGAAATTCGAACAAATGTGTAGTGAACTCTAGCACTTTATTCAGTAAGCAGTTTCTACTGTAAGAAAATCTGTACATTAAGGAAGTCAAACTTGAAAGAAAATGATGCATCTAGATGCATTATTCTGGTGCCATATATAAAAAAAACCAACAGTAAGTGAGAGTTATAATAATGACACATACTAATAAAATGTTTTGTCTCTGCAGAGATCCCCAGGGGGATGTGATTCTTGCTTTTGAGGTAAGAAATATCATTATTTCCCTACTCATATTATTAGTATATTCATTATCCCCCTGACAAATTATTCACCTACTCCAATGAGTGGAGGTTGCTAAAGGGTCGCTTTGTATAATTCACAGTTTGATAACGAGCCAAACATGATCGCAGAAGAGTCAGAAAGCTAGCTGTAAAATAAACTAAGGATGGGGCACAATTGTTAGAAGGCTGCAAATGGCCAAAACGGTTTATTACTTTAGGACAAATGCCGAGGGAGAAAAGGTGGGATGTTAAACCTTAATAGTGCCTCGGCACTGCCAGTCATTGATGTATTTGGGATGTGCAGTTAAACTCTAATTAATAACTATTCTTTAATTAACAAAACAACAAACTACATGGGTTTGGTTTCATGCTGTACAACCCCCTGAAACGGTTAATTACTTTACCAATATGCAGTGTCAAATAGTATTGCGACAGTCACTACTACCTTCTTTGTAGACATGCTGTTAACACTTATGGATTTCTATTATACTAAAGCTATATGCTCTGCGACTTCTTTCTAGAGAATAGCTACATTCAATTGTGCATTGACATATAGCTGCGTATATTTAACCTAGTATTTCATAGTAAAATGTATTGTATACACACATCGTATTACATCTTTTATTATTCCTCCACATATTCCGAAATCACAATATTACATTTGAAGCCATGCATGCACTCAGACATATTGCTTAGAGGTGAACATATGCTTCAGGAATCCACATCACAGTTATGTCTTGTTATCATACAAATATTCTAATTATCTAATTATCTAATCTAATTATTAATTTTCTAATTATTTTTAATTTTATCATTATTAATTCCTCACTCAATGCGTTTACTTAGACCAAGAATTATGACCCCAAAAATATATTTTTGACTTTTGTGGTGGCATTTTGGTAAAAAAAAAGAGTGCCATTTACCTTTAAACGGTCAGTCACATTGGGGTTATACTATTTTTTTATTAAGCACCTCCAATGACACACATGGGCTATATTGGTGCTTTTATCAAAATATGAACGATGGACCTGTTTCTGGTTACTAAAAAGCTCTACTAAGACAATTCTCATTTCAAGAACTTATTTATATTATGGAAAAAAGTGCATTGCAAATTAACTGGTGTATATAGTTAATGGCACAGTTGCATAGAGAACAGTGAAGTCTGGTACATGTATGATAGTTGAGTGTATGAAAGCACTAGCAGTCTGTAGGAAAAGGACAGATTTAAACCGAAGTATACTGCATGGTGTACAGCAATGTGTTGTAGGAATGTAGCGATCGTCTGATCATTATCTCGTTGTGTTGGCAGATGAATGGAGAGCCGCTACCTCGTGACCATGGCTTTCCAGTGAGGGTGATAGTACCTGGCTACATTGGTGCACGGTGAGCGACACTTTTGTTTAAGGGGAATTGCAACTGGTCACGACTCCAGGAAGTTGTTGTTGAATTCTAGAAGTGGTTCATCATTGATTCAAAATGTCGCCAATGTCTAATAAAAAATTGGTTGGTTCTGTTAGGGAGCCTACGCATGCATGTGTGCAGAACTAAGTTGTATATTGGTATTTTTTTTAGGAGTGTCAAGTGGCTAAAGTCGATTACAGTCAAAAGTGATGAATCGGAAAGCTTCTTCCAGAGAAGAGATTACAAAGTGTTTTTGCCATCGGTGGGTGCTCCTGCTATGTAACTACATTTATTGCTTAGTATGTGGATTTTGCTATTGTAGGAAATATCAAGTGTTGTCCCTCAAAGCTGGAGCTAATTTGCAACATCCTATACATCTTCCAAGACATGCCGTAATTTCCTAATATGTTAAACATGCCTTTAATTTCCAACTGTTTTCACAGCTTCATGTACATATGTTCGAATTGAACCGGTTTATCTGTATTGGGGCCGCTCGCGATACAGATTATTAGTTCGAGCAAGCAATATGGTTTGCCTGGTTGTCTGACATGCTGTTTGAAATTTTTGGAAAGAACTGATTTATGTATCTATATACATGTACATATACACGTATATTGTCTACTATTGAATCCATATGTTCATGGCAGTGTTCACATGAATTCTATAAAATGTTGAAAGTTCTAGAATTTTAAAATAACATTTGCCAAATCTTGGAACCCCTGGAAAATAGTTTACGCTTTCTGATCCTGGAAAAATTGCCATTATTATGTTTGGTCTTAGGAAGTCCTTAAAATGCAATGTATCTTGTCTGGGGTAAGGTCATTTTCTTTATGAAAGAAAGTTGTCACCCATATTGCAGTCATGGAAAGTACACCTCTAAATTCTTGGAAAACTGGAAAATAGCGTTTGCCTTATGTTAGCAAACCCTGTCCTGTGAGTAGTGTGTCAGAGCAATCGTTGTTTTCCTGGTTAGCATAATTTAATGGCAGTTGTGAAATGAAAGCATTACAATCTCACCTGTTTGTGAATTTTGGTCAAATGGTGTCTAGATTAATTTATGATACTCATTTTACAACAGAGTTGATGTGTGTCTACTGTTTTGAGTGCATTACGAATATGGGGCCTGTTTATAGGTTAACTGGGATAATGTTAATGATTGGTGGGACAGAACACCTTCACTGGCAGGATTGTCAGTGCAGGCTGCTATTACAAACCCAAAGCTTTCTGAAGCTATCGCCACTGGATCTTCATACACAGTCAGCGGGTATGCCCTGTCGGGTGGAAATAGGTGAGTTGCTTTTATTGAGATATAAAAGCGATAAGTTGGCTGATGTCCAATTATTAAAGCAGTTTTAACAAAACAGTTGATCAAGCATCGGTGTATGAATTCGACGTTGTATGATATTGTGTAATTCACATTTTTACAGAATTGTGAGAGTCGATATATCGCTGGATGGAGGTAAATCCTGGCAGACTGCTCGTATCTTTCCTGGTGAAGAAAAGGGACATGACAACCGTTACTGGGCCTGGGCTTTCTGGGATTTCCATGTTGACCAATTCCCTTCACCATGTGAAATTGTCTGTAAAGCATGTAAGACCTTTTTAATTCTAAATGACATGATGTGTGATATATAGATGTTAATCTCTACAACAAGTTACATTGATTTTTGTTTTAATATATTAAAGGCATAATAGGCCCATTGATAGCCCATATGCAAAGTTGTCGAATGCTAGAGTAACTGGCACCTTGTGTAGTTAATAAGTACATAACCTTACATCCAAATGCGTATTAGCTTGTCCAATATCACTGCTGGTTACTAAGAAATGTCTAATTGAAATTCGCGGTCAAATAAATCAGTTGTTTGCAGTTTCAACCCGCAGCCGCCGAAGCAGGTGGAAAGCAGGAAAAACAATTCTTTTATTACGCCTCAGCTTGACGAAGTCAGATGCAGCTGTAGAACGCATTGAATGTCCGTGCGTCAACAGTTGGGCACAAATGTTAACCGCCTCGACGTACGGTCTTGATATTTCGGACTTCGGGGGGGGGGGGGGGTTATTGCCAAAGGACTCGGGATATCGAATTTGGGGGTCAAAGGTCATGATGTGTCAATGGATGGGGAATATTTCCCCCTTAACTTAAGGTATAGGAGGAAAATACGGATTCGCGACAGAAATGCTTGAAACGGGTCTTGACCTATCGCTCTCTATATTCGATGTAATAGTGTTGATGGGGAAGAAACCATCACGCAGCAGAGCGAAATCACCAGGCAGCGCGGGCAGGTCACTAGGTAACAGGCAGTGGGGAAATCAGGAGATGATGCAGACCATTTTCTGAGGAACATGGTCTGAAAACGGATCGAGTGCAAAACTGTTTTTGTTTCACTTCGCGTGACCTACCATTTTAGTCACTTTATTGAAAGGACCATGAAATGTGCTTTCCACTGACGTGCGAAGATTAAGTGTCTGATAACCTTTTGACCCTCAAGACGGAGGTTAAACATGGATTTGTTGACTGTTAACAAAGGACTGAACTGCTTTTGCTATTAGAGCCTCCTTCCCCCACCCTCCCCCCACCACCACCACTACGCTCGCGCTCGACGCATATCCATGATAACATGTTAATATAGCAAAGTTCAAGTCATTAAAGTTACACAGCTGTATCTTTATTACTGTACTACCAGTAGGTATAGCAAAGCCTATAACAGATTTTAGATCTGTATTAGTAGTAGCTTAGATATATGCTCTGAGCGTGAACGCAGTGGCAGGAGGGCACACTTGATTCGGTTGCCATTGAGTTTATCAGAAGAATACCGGGCTACAGTACATGTCAGTTGAGCGCTGTTGCTCTGCGGCACTTGTTTTAGTTTGATTGAATTTGGTGAGCAGTTATGTTGTAATGCCCTTTACGGTGGTACCTGTCCATGACCATGACTGCATTCTTAATACATTTGTTCAAGAGCGTATAAAGAAGGAGAGCGTACAACGGTGAAATGCTGAAACCATGTTGCAGTATTAGTCGAATTAATAAACTTTGCCCGTTTTATTTTGACGATTCTTTGCGGTATTATTGATCAGCTGTCCTACCTTGCTAATATAAAACAAACCGCTTGTCCCTACGATGCCCCTACGCTGAGATAATGAGCGGTGAAAATCTGGTATTTTTGCCGAAAACCAACTCGAGATCCCTGTTTTCTGCGACCCTCTCTTGCTTTGTGGCCAGTGTGTTGCTTCCACTCGTCGCTGTGTAGCGCCATGGTAGCGCTGACTCATTACGTCAGTACTACAGAGTTTACTACATCCAGTGTGAGGTGGGCACAGGTGGGGGGCCTATCTCGAGTCGGTTTTCGGTGAAAATTCCAGATTTTCACCGCTCATTATCTCAGCGTAGGGGCATCGTAGGGATATGCGGTTTGTTTTATATGAACAAGGTAGGACAGCTGATCAATAATACTGCAAAGAATCGTCAAAATAAAACGGGAAAAGTTTATTAATTTGACTAATACTGCAACATGGTTTCAGAATTTCACTGTTGTATGCTCTCCTTCTTAATACGCTCTTGATTTGTTTCATATTTTCATCTTAATTATCATAGTGGACAAGGATGTATCTTTATGGTTACTAACCACTGACTTCTGGTTTTGTCTATTGCAGTGGACATTGGTAACAACGGCATGCCTGATGATCTGGCACAGATTTGGAACCTTCGTGGAGTTATGAATAACTCATGGCACCATGTGAGTGTGCCTGCCAAATCCAAGTACTGATCATCTCGACAAATGCAACAGGCCAGACAGGTGCTTGTGAGAGTGCAGGCAAACAGTGCTAAGCAGGGGCCCGTTGTCAGAAACAAAATTAGTCTTAACATTAGTCTTAACAATTTTCCTAGACCGTCGACATCACTTTGTTTCGTATTGTTATGAGGAAATCTGCTACGATTTTTTATTCTCGTAACTTCGCAGCGTTTCTGTCAACGGTCTAAGAGAAAAAGTTAATGTTAAGACTAATGTTAAGACCAATTTTGTTTCTGACAACGGGCCCCAGGTGTTTTCCAGAGTTACACTTGAGTAAAAACGCATGCATAAATTGTACATCATGTACAGTTATGCTAGCCGGGTGGTTGTTAAAAAGTTTTTAAAACCTCAGCATCTGCCTTGTCTTCTGTGTACTAATAGGTTTAGCAGATATTTTATATAATGGTATTTTGTTACATGCATTGTGGGAATCAGTCCGATTCGTGTGTTTTTAATTTTCTGCATTAGTGCAACATATGCACTTACAGGCTTTCAGAGCTATCATAATGCTAAGCATTTCAATTTGTTTTTTAATCTGCTTACTTAGTACATTACTTAGTAATTAGGTTTTACTTTTTAATGTACAATCGCTTATTCGTGCAGTTATTGTTTTCGTAGAACGTACAAGTATTGGGTAAATGATTGTATATTGTAAGGATATCCATGCTGTGTTACTTATATAGGCTCATGTCTCATGTGATTTATTATAATTGCTATGTATAATTGTTATTGAAATGGTTACTAGGCATATATAGCAAAGAGGTAGTTGTTTTCACATTACAGGATATACCGTAGTTAACGTTACCATATTTTTTGCTTTTTAAGAATCTGCATCGTAGACGATGCACACTGATTTTAGAAAGTCAATTCTAAGATTTAAAAAAATACGGTATGCATTTTACATATTGTTACAGATAATGTGCTGATTTGCATCAGTCTCTATGCCTATATTTTAGTATGTTAATACAGGGCAGGTCAGGTTTCTTATTAAACGGTGATGCACAGCTTGCATATAGTAGTTACCTGCCAGGTTTCGGAAAGATATGTAAGTACCGTCTCTGGTTGCTTACAAATAGCCTGTAAGGCTGACGTCATGTGAAATTATTATCATAAGATGTAGGCTATAATCTGTTACTAAGTCTGATGTAAAAAAAATCTAGCATACTAGTCCTAGAGTAGTTTTTAGTCAAGCTACATGGTAGTGCTTAATGATGTCGAGTCATATATTTAATAGATTTATTAATTTGATGAGAGTTTCAAACATGAACAGCTAGCGCCTATATTTTCTGGTTTGATTAAACTTGCATGTGTTTGGAACTGTAGGTTCCAAATACACATGTTTGTTATGCTCGTTCTCAGTTTGTAGAACTGTACAAGGTTGACCTTGCTTGTCCCACCATCGCTCCGTGGGCTACCGTATGTAATACGGCAGATGCAATCCTGAGAAACGTTAAAGTGTGTCAACCAAACATTTTGTTAACTGTGCTGAGAGAGAAAAAAAGCTTAACAACTTATTAATTGTTATTGTTTTCTTGTCGTGGTGATGTTCATATATGATTGGTGAAATGAAACGTGGCTTGCTTATGTGCTGGGGAATGTCGCTTCTCAACATAGTTACTCTCTCTTGCTGTCTCTCAATCCTCCCTCTCTCTCCATTCACCCCAGGCCCCTATCTACAGGGGAGTGTACAGGGGGGGGGGGGGTCCAGGGGGTCCGGACCCCCTGTGCTCGCGCAGAAAACGCATCTGAGTGGGGTCTAATTTCAAAATTTTTATGGGGAGGGCCCCAGACCCCCCTTCGCGTGCTCGCAAGTATGGATTACGGTTAGACCCCCCTGGTCCAAATCCGGTACACGCCCCTGATCTATCTATCTGTCTCTCTTTCTCGCCCTCTTTTTCTGTCTGTGCGAGCGCGCGCGTTCATGTGTGTCTTTCATCTCTTTCGGTCTCTCTCTCTCCTCCCTTTCCTCTTTCTCGCTCTTCCCCTGTCTCCCTTTTTCTTTCTTTCTCTCTCTCATTCTCTCTCCCCCCTTTTCTCTTTCTCTCTCGCTCTCTCCCTTTCCCTTCCTTCCCCCCTCCCTCTATCGCGCTCTCTCTCGTTTTTTCTGCACTTGTATCCAACAAGCGCCTCGTAGCTGGATTTCTGTTCCATTCGCTGCCATGTTACCTGAGGCTGAGTGTTCTGGCGTTATTTTTAGTATACAACGGGTCGGGATTCTGCAGTAAAAACCCGCGGGGCTTGTAAAAATACTCAAACATTTGCAGTCACTCTTGAGGCTCACATGAGATGTCGGTGGCAACTCTCTTCGTCTGCCACGAGTGTCATTGATTTACATCTAGTACGTGACTCTTGAACGGTGAGTGCATCGATCGGTTTCATCCTCACCCGCACCCGCAACAATTATACCCGCTAACCTACGATCTAATTCGATTAGGCAGCACTGTTAAACTCACATCTTCCTGAGTCAATTAAACTATGAGGAAACACGCCTAGCGAATATAGGTGGCGCAACATGCCAGGTTGTCACAGTGCCGTATATATATAGATATCTCTATATACGGCTCTGAGTTGTCAGTGCCAGCGGAAGTATACCCACATTTAATTCATCATTAATATTTTGCATTTGCTCAATACGCAGTTATTCTCATTTAATTTGCAGTATTCTCATTAATTTGCAGTCACGAGTGACTCAATTTACCACTGAGCAATGACAAAACTATAAAAAGTAGTGGACAAAATCAATCGTATAGTACATCTCGGCCACAAATATAGCTGCGTAGTAAGTAGTGTGCAGCGCCACTATTCTGTCATATATGAGATTTTTCGAAAAGGCATTCTATATCCTCCGTGTGAGAGACAGGCATGTGTCTGTCCCCGTTGTCCACGGCTGCGCTCTCACTCAACCTGCGGGACATGTTACGACGCGGCAGGGGCGTGTACAGGATTTGTACCAGGGGGGGGGGGTCTAACCATAACCCAAACTTGGGTGCACGCGAAGGGGATGTCTGGGGGGCCCTCCCCCGGAAATTTTTTGAAATTAGACCCCCTCAGATGCGTTTACTGCGCGAGCAGGGGGGGGGGTCCGGAACCCCTGGACCCCCCCCGTACACGCCTCTGCGCGGTACAACAGCCGAAAACAGAAACACGTTCAGCTCTCAACGAACAATCGTCATAGCTCTCTAGCGCGTTCATACTTCAGGACGCACCTAGAAGCCATAATAGGGCATCCGTAGCACTGTTATGGAGTGTATTGTATGGATTCACGTTTTCCATCCATGTCAACGGTTGGTCTTTTTCTGAAAACTAAACTATATCGAATGCACACTTACATGGTCGAAAGAGAGCGCGCACGAAAAGGGAAGAAGGAGGAGGGATAGAGCACATACGCGAGAGAGAAAGACGGAGGGACAGGGGCAAATTTATAGAAAAAGGGACCAAATTGTTATTCAGAAAGCAATTTCAACCTCTATACCGTAACCTGTCAGAATTAAAGAAGATATATATCTATTTACATGCAGTGGGTTGGGTAATACCGCCGCAAGAGCCCTGAATGACATCCTCGGTAATTAAGAACACAAACATAGTTCATATTTTTTATTCTACATAAAAGATTGTATTGTCCGCCATTGTGCGTTATATTTTAATAATTGGAAAAATTTGCTGCAACCTAATTAAAACTACCAAAGGTAATCACACCCTCTCTCTCTCTCTCTCTCTCTCTCTCTCTCTCTCTCTCTCTCT